TGTTAAGAATCGTCACTGCTTTATCATATTCTTGTTTGCTGATAGCTACTATGGAGATTGTCTTCTTATTATAATGGATACCTGCTTTAATTTTTCGATTTCTAAATTTGGTGTTCATGTCCTTTACAAGCTGTGGGTACTGGCAAAGAAATGTAGACAGCGATGGCGATATGCCATCTTGACTGTCTTTGATATTTGCAAAAAGCTCCTGATGATCTTGTATTTCTTTCCTGTTGGCAATTTGAACCAATTGATGTTGCGAGCCAAGTTGCTGAAAGAGCAACATTAAGGAAGGAGTCATGGTAAATATTGATCCTCTAGTAGTATCCTCTGTTGTTTTATTTACACCTTAAGAGAGTAAATGACAAGAAGAAGACGCCAATTTTAATGTTGCTTTGCCTTTATAATCCTCATTTTGGTAACTGTCTGACTTACCTGCATCATACTTTTCCACCACTATATTTGATGTTGTATCAACCATATGATGACGGGTTTCTCCACTTTTAACATTTTTAGTAGCAGTATCATTTGTTAGAGATTGATCTTTGTGATTTTTATTAATTGCTCCACTATTTTTAGCAACAGTTGGATTGAAATTTTCGATGCTTCCATCTTGGCACACGTTGCCTTCGTCGATGATATCATTATTTATTTTCTGTAACAATTCTTGCTCAAATGATAATGTTGTCTTGTGCTTTGTCGATCGAGCAGAAGCCTTGGAATTTCCGTCTTGACTGACTCTGTCATTACTATTTAATTCACCTGTAAGAGATGGCGTTGACACAGAATGGTTAGTTACATTGCTTTGCTTATTGGCTGCCTTATGTTTTTCTATTATAACGGAGGGTGTATTAACTAACTTACGATCAACGATTTTAGAATTTTTGACTGTATTCAGCTTTGGATCTTGGCTATTGCTATCCTGTTGCAAATTCTGTCTAACTTGGGTTTTTGCTGTAGGAGCAGCTAAATTGTTCACTGCACTTCCATTTGCTATTGGATCTTTTGCACTGTTGTGTACACGAATACCAGTCGATGATGTTCCCAAGTTTTGGATATAGCTATCATTACTTTTTCCCGATAAATTCCGGCTAATGGAGGGTGCAGATACAGGTACACCTAACTTACCAGCTTTATTTTTGTTGGTATCTTGACCTTTTTCACGATCTGCTGCGGTATAGGAGAACGATGAGTTATGAATCAACGGAACTTTATTTTTGCTGTTTGAATCTTGTGCCGTTCCATTACTTTGAGTAGTGGAGGCTTTCAAAGGTTTGATATTGCTATCAAGTAATTCTTCCAAAGAAGTTTTCGACGATAGTAATGACCGTTTTGAAGACAATCTCGTATTAATTTCGTGAATTTTAGATCTAGCATCAGCTCTAGAAAATTGATATCGATCATCATTCCCATCATTTGGTGTGCTATTGGCTGCTTTATCATTTCCTTGACTCTGTACTGGCAACTTACCAGCCGGGAGGCCTGCTGAATTATTTTGGTGACTTTTAGAATTAATTTCAACTCTAGCAGACGAATATTGACCATCCTTCCAATTTTTGAGTATGCCAATAGGTGCTTTATTTTCTTGTTTACTTTGTGTTGGTAACTTATCAGATGTAAAGCCAGCTGAATTACTTTGAGGTTCATTTACAGTTGAATTTCCTCTGTGATTTGCTACGCTCCCATAATTATTACGGTCATTATTCAAATTGTTAATCCTTGATCCTTGTTGGACATAGTTATTAGAGCTACTCGGTAAGCCTTCAGCTGTTCTCGAATTCTCTTTATCGTCAGCATTTGTATTCGATTTAGCTGCTGCCTTGCGGCACCTTTCCTTCACGTATGTCTGATAGGTGTAAGACGTAGAAGGTTTGGGTGCTTGAAAACATGCTAAGCAGAATAATTGACCCATGAATTAACTGGTGCAAAGGTTTACTCAGCTTTATAGCATCAATTCCTTCCCAGGATAATAGTGGTAGCATCAATTTCACGATATTAATCTTCAAGAATAAATTAGGGAAAGGTGATGATTCCAAGGATAGTAAACTTTGCAGTAGTATAGCTTTAAAGTAGTAATACTTGGATAGATTTCTTTATTTTCCCAACTGGTGACTTTCTACACGATTTAGCTTTGTATGGTGGTAGTAGCTTGGTAGGGCTACAGTAATCACTATAAAGGCATTAATTAATGAAGCATTTAATTTTTCGATCTACTCACGCAGCGTTGATTTCAAGAATGAAATCTAGCAAGTAAAATATTTCGACAGCATTTAGTTTATCGATTTAAGCGCTTAAATTACTTATCCTAATATTCCTGTGTTGATTTCAAGTCAACTTTTTATTATATAATAATACTGAATTAGTGAAGTTAAGTATTTGAAGTCCAAAATGTTCACTATCGATCTCAGTCCGATATAACCAGAATGGACTCAAGCCATTGCAGCTATCAAAGAAAGCCTACCTTAAGTTTAAATTACTAATCCTGATAAGCATGTATTGGATAGAGTCAATTTTCTAGTATCTAGGAATACTAAATTGGTGAGATGTGGTATTTTAAATTTAAATGTTAACTAGCGATCCTAGTCTGATATTACCAGAATGCACTATTGTCACCAAAGTTAGGAAACAAAGCCTGGAAATATGTTACGCCAATAGTAACTATGGAACGTACGGAATCAGTTTTGTTTGATTCTATACAAATATAATCATCGAATGCATACTAAAGTAATGTGGTTATATGATTAATCTAGTGTCAAAAGTAGACCATCACAGATTGAAATTCGTTTGCAAGTGTGCCCACAGAGACTGCTTCGATTTCTGGCTTCGTTTACTTTATAGGTGGCATAAACGATCCTACTGGGAATATAGAAGAATTAGCATAACACAAGATACCGCTTCCGCATTGCATACTAACTCTTCAAACATTGGCATTTGGTCATAGACTATTATTATCGATACTTTAGTCATGAAGCATATCTATTAGCTATTTCTATCTCTAATTTTCGAATCCGTTTCTCAGAATCGGATAAAATATGGTGGAATAGTTTGCTATATTTATTCTCATCGTCATCGATGATTGCACAAGCAAATTTTTAACATGCTGATCTATATGTCAATTTCGCATCCATTTTAATATACAGTACGAGCATATAGAGCTGTATGCAGAGATTTAAATGAATCCTTACAAGATTTCAAGCTTGTCGTGATTTCAGTTAAATACAGTAGTTATGTGGTGGGAAATACCGTAATAAGGTTAAGAAACCATACACTATAAACTTACGTAGTTCATAATGAAATTACAGCAACGTTACAATTCTAAATCACTTTTTTTTTCGCTAAAAAACAGTCATCAAAAATTATGCCTATGTCAGCAGCTTTTGTTGGTACGTCTACATTTCTTAATTCTATCATTTCTGACAGGCTATAACCTGGTGCTAGAATTGCCAAATGCTTGCCAGACTATAGAAAGTAGTCGATTTTCTAGAAAGTTTGATAAACTACTATTATATTATATCCTATTGCATTCAGAAAGCATCCGTGGGTGGTCCTCCTTTCCTAAATAATAGCACCCAAGACCCACCTCCTACTTTAATTAAATATAAGTGTTTACTTTGACAACATCATCTCTAAACCGTCAATATCATAACGCAGTTTGGCTTTAGCTTTTACATGCGGCAGAATTACAAGAATTAATAAACACTATCAGCGCTACCTAGAAATAAAAGCTTCGATTTAGCAAAATTGTTCATCTAACACGACATAATACTTTACTGTTACAAAGACTCTTAAATATAGACTCGATTATAATCCTAAAAGGGGAAAAATTTTAGTGTGATTATCACCAGTAGAATAGAAAGTAAGGGCACCGGGTAAACAAAAATCATTCTTTCTGAATTTAACATATGCCATTATCACTAATTAACGGTTCGTTTTAGCATCATCTTTAACTACAAAAACACCCTCTGTTATAATCTACCATGATCACAGGTAATTTCCATATTAAAAATATAGCTACTTAGCTAGTTCTAAGTTGGAGGCTACTAAATGTCTCTAATCACTATGTATTTAATGAAACTATCTTAGCCAGATAAATACTGAAGAACCGCTCCACACTAGGTCAAAAATCTTTTAATTACAATAAAACAACTTTTACTTCATCTTCTATAACAGTGTCCTAACTTATAGCCAATAAAATGATGCCATGCAATCAGATTGATCACAATAATAACTTTTTTTTCCCAACGTTGGTATAAATTGAATAAAACTTTGCCTGCGGACTCAGAAAAATCATTGAGGAAAACTATTGTCACCAACATTGCTAAGATGTAAGCCTACTACTCAAGAAATAGATTGCTAATAAAGCGATAGTTCCAATACTTTAATTTATTGTAATAATGATATAATTTAGCTATCTGATTTTAAATCTACGATTTCTAATCACATATTATGAGTCAAAATCTCAAATCAAAGTCATAATATGTGTTCTTATAATAGTATAAATTTACAGACGTTAAAGAAGTGAAGTAAAGGATAGCTTGTACACATATATTGTACTTCTTAAGGTTCAATCGTCATCATAGCATCCTATCTTTAATCAAGCAATTGAGCATGTAATCTATTCCGCTGCAAATTTCACTTATGAAATAGATAAAATTTTGAATTACATTCCGTTAATTAACTGGAGTTAAAGATGTTAATAAGGTAGATTTAAATATCAAATAGAAAATATTACAGAGATGACTTGAAAAATAGGCCAATACGCGTATAGTACACGAAATGGCCAACGAAATAGCTTTATCTAACTACAATTAGAAGTAAAAAATAATTAAAAGCTATAGCAATCTCATTGTCAATAACCCACGTTTGTATATGGTAGCTACTCTAGTCTTCTATAACTATGTTGTAAGCCATTCAATTATCAAAACTTCGGAAAACATTCATTTTTTGATGATAGATAGCCAAATAAAAGCTTATGATGATTATTGCCTACTGGATACGTATTATATATGGATAATGTATTCTGGATAAGCAGAGTTATCATTAGAAATTACAAATACAGAAGGATTAGTAACGTCATTAACAACAGAATGAATTCGATCTCCTTTGCTTCCAGGAATGCTAGATAAGTTTGGTTGGTTGCTACTAGCTGCAGCACCATATATTCCTGTTAGAACACGTGCTAAGATAAGACTGCTACCATATTGTAATGACATTCTCGCATCTGTAGCAAAATATGTGCCAGTACCAAGCGCTGAACCTGCAAAATAAATAAAATAAGAGAGTTATACCAAGAAATAAATTTGATAATTGTAATGCTAACGATGAATTCTCTTACCCTACTCTTACTTGTAATATTATTTTATAATTACAAATTATACTTTAACTTGACTATAGTGTGTCATTATATATGTTATATATTCAAAAATAAATCTTCGTATTTAAACAGATTTCATATAAATATACTAATGATGGATTGTTTTACTCCACTCTAAGTTCTAATATAGTATTATAGTTACAAATTGTGCTTAATTTAGCAATAATATGCAACTCGGCACACTTTTATGCATGCTTTAACTAACCTGCAGATTTTCCAGAGAAATCCCGATCGAAACCATTTTTACCTATACTTGGTAAGTTTATTCCTTTAGTGCCATGAAATAAGCGTCTTTCAACCTGAGCTTCTGGCTTATACTTCTTAACTGCTCTAGCTACATCAGCTTTCATTAAATGGTATCGCCTATATAAATTCCAATTTTGAATTCGTTGCAACTTCCTAATGGTAACCCCATTTAATCCTTGAATATTAGCTATTTCAGCTATTTCTTGTTGATTCTTGACATTCAATATACGAAAATGTCCATTTCTAATTTGATCCTGCTTTTGATATTCCCAATTCTTAGGTATGGCGATATCTTTTGTAAGATTATCAAACAAAATAATTTGTTTTCAATTCAGCTACTTATCAGGAATGAAATTACTGCTAGTCTATAAAGAAACAGTTTTATTTTATAGCATAAATTTTTAATTTCTGTAAAATATCAGATTCACAGTTTTCTACACAGATTTTTAGTTATGACTGACCCGGATTACTATTTTGGACCGTAAGGGATAGCTTATTAAAATTAATGCTATTTTGTAGTAGTAATACATATAATTTACCCGATGAAAATCTTTGAAAGGGCCTTGCAATTCCGTCAGAGAGCCAGTTCTTAAAGCTTTGGTAGTGCATGGCTCTATCTGCCCGCAATCTTTGAACTTCATAGCGAGTTTTCTCCTCAACAAGGATTTTACTTAACTCGTGTATACTTGAAAGAGAGTCGAAAATGTCATCTTCCAATCCATGTATATCTACAATTGTACCTTGATTTTGACGTGTTAAAATAATATTATACTCATCCCAAAACTGTAATGCAATTTTATACCAATAATTTTGGTCAATAGTGGCGAAATAAGCTTCATTATTCATCCTCTGAGATGTCCAAAGACTTGCAGATTCTTCAATTCTCGACCTAGCTTTAGCAATTGTACTTTCATCTCGAGCGACGAAAACTAATTTTATACCCAATTTTTTCGTGGGTACATTTTTAATCAATTGCCATCCAAAGTGCAATAAGTCAGCGTTTATAACAATGTTCTGCTCCATCCAAGTTGCAATTTCCAAAGCTCGGTCTTTGTAACCAATAACGAAATCAATCGAACTTATCTTAATTGAATCGTTAAGAGCATGAAGCATGAATACTTCTATGGCTTTTATTAAGTCGTAGACATGGCCAAAATTTAATTCAACACTTAATAACGGAATAGCTACAGATTTATCTTCGTAGGCATTAATATAAGCTAAAACCGTGCTAAGCCCAGCGAAGCAACCAAAAGGACAAATCTGGTACACATTATGACCCGATTCCTTGCTTGAGAGAAGTTGCAGAGTTTTCATACTATGTCCATCATCTTTACTTTGCATAATATCAGATGTTATAGTGCTATGATCGGAGCATAAGGCTGTCGTATCTAAGATAGCAGCGGTGGTTGCATCGCAAGTAGTACCATGATAAACATTAATGTAAAAGGGTGTTTCAGTAGTTTCGCACATAGCTGAAAACAGGTGGCTATAATTTTTACAATTTGCATTCTTATCATTTGTTGATTTGTTCGCAGATGCAGTTAATTGGCTTGAATTCTTCACCTGATTTATTGAGGTTATGCTAGCTTTCAAGGCTTGACTAAAAGCTGTATAGCTTTTAATGTCAGTAGGATGAATAATAAAATTGATTTCTTTTAAGCTTCCAACTTGTTTTTGAGCAAATTCAAAGGATTTCTTTAACATCTCTGCCGCAATGTCATTAATATTTAATTCGGCTTGACTAGCTCCAATAATTGGTATTGATATCGAATTCATAAATTCTGTATTAGCTTTAATTAGGCAATCGCTAATACGATCACTAAGCCACTAAATAAGAGCAATTAGAAACATGTGATTGAGCGATAGCTTCAGCTTGCATTGTCGAATAATATAACATTTATTTACTTGTTACTACCTGATGCTAGTTATAATTTGCAGCAACAACTTACAAATAAAAAAACAACATCAATGTTTTTCGGTACTAACCTTCAAGGACCTATCAGAAGATAAGAATGGAATATGATACACCTTCTTGCAACCAAAGTAGACTCCATTTGTACAACCAATAGTGTCGCTTTGTAAAGTTTGTAACTTCAAAATACATTCAGATAAATAAGGGGTTCCACCGACCTGGATTAATGCAACTGCAATTCTACCGTAGGCGTAATTCCCGTGCAGCACAGAGTTAACGATAACATCCGCCTATAATTAATGAATGAATGAAGAATAAAATTTAGCATTTCAGTTTCCTAATCAATTCATAATTTGGTCATTATCAGCAGTAGCGACTAAAGTATTAGTATAGAACAAGAGTAGACAGATATCTTACAGCTGCTCCTTCTCGTTCAATAGTGCCTTTCACCAATTTAATAGTAATGCTCTTGATTTCAACTTCATTATCGTTATTATACGAAAATGGCGTAGGCTTAATAAGATTGGTCACAGTCTTTACAGGTGTTTCGTTCATGGTCTGTGGCTGAAGTGATCTATAAATATCCATGGCTGATCTACGCATCTTTATCTGATTAAGTTTAGTATTGCTAACGCCCATGGGAATAAGAAGGTAGAAAAGAAAATTAGAGATTCTGCTGATAGTCTAGAAATTTTGGCCAAGTAATCAATTTTCATAGCAAAAATTATACTGTCATCTTTTATAGCACTTGCATTCTGCGTTATGTGCATACCTCTAATTGTTATTATAAGTATCATTATTAGTTATTTGTAATTAATCATTTACTATTGTACTGTATTATAGTGTTCAAATGTTACTTATTACGTTGCATGTATCATACCTTGTTTTTCTGGTTATTTTTAAATCGTGAACTTATGTAATTTCTGTACTACACTACATGTTATCCTCTTTTAAATAATATTGTCTCAATCTCCTTTAACATATAGTTATTGACGTATATGAAAATTGTAGAAAGAACTATACGCAACTCTATACAGTAGCTTTAGTTTTAAACCAGATCTACACCTGTATTCCGGTTGTACACCTAAATCGATCTATTTGGTAAATTTATCAATTCGAAATTGTTACTGTATCGCTGCATAGTATTGGCTCTTGCTACTGTCTCAAAATTAGCACTAACTTGCAGAATAGGACCTACTGTTCACCGAAAGTACAATTTCACACCAATAGTATGAATGAGATAGTATCATGTAACCGTAACTTTAGTTATAGAAAAGTATCGATGAATTTAACATCTCTGCTGCTTTATAACGCTAATCAATGTTAGCAGATATATAGCATCACACATCAGAATATATGAAACAACAACTTCGTTATGAAATGATGCTAAGAATAGATTCTAACCTTAATTTTCCATCATTATCTGCCACGATAATAAAGCACTGAAGTTCCTTTTGTATTTTGTCCAATTTTGTTTTATTTATTTCCGAAATGATAAATCTTCCAACTCTAGAATACTTACTTATCGATTCTTCTCTCTTTACAGCAATACTCTGCATAATATCTTGAATCATCTGTGAAACAACCGTTTTATACGCTTGGCAACATTTAACAGTAATATTTTTGGTAGTTCCTAAAAGGAATGTGTCACTTTCCAGCTTTTCCTCGACGTTTATTTTGCAGCTAAACTCGTTTTCCAATTCTTGAATAATATCTTTCATGTGCACTCGAAGGTATTCCGTCATAAGAATTGGATATTTGGGTAAAACAAATTTCTCGATTTTATAATCTTCTCCTAGTTTATGAATATCATCTACGATATCATCCACGATGCTACTTGGACCTGTAACCGTTATTGCGTGTCCATTAGTTGTACTATTTATTTCGAACAAGACTTGGCTACATATGGCAATGCCACCTCGAATTTTTGATAGAAATTCGATTTCATTATGTGGTATGAGGAGATTTTCACCGATAATGGTTGTTGACTTAGTACAAAAAATGTTTTTCAAAATTGCAATCACTTGATCATGTAGTTCTGTGGTCCTTGCTAAAATGGAAAGAGAATCTCTTTTGCAGAAGATTCCAGCTTCCAATCCGTAATCTCGTAATTTTTTATTCGTAAGAGTTCTCATTTCAGCCTGTTGAGTTAGAAAACTACCTATTTTAACCGGTAATTTGTCCGTACTTTCTACAATAACCATGTACGCAAGCAACTTTTTCATTACATAACTTTGTGAGCCATCAATCATATGTGCAATGACCCGGTATCCATGATCATCATTTGTAAACGTAAAAGAAACGTTATAGCCTTCATTTTTAATTTTCTGTTCTAGATTAGCTTGTTGAATAAGGAAACAAACATTCGCAGGTAAATCATATTCTTGCTGAACTGTAGCATTAAAAAAGATACCCGCACATTAGAAGGTTGAATAGTGAGTTATACTTACAATATACTCGTATAAATTCAATTCTATTTATTATTCATCAAGATCATTTACATGATTGCAAAATAATTAAAATTACGCTTATATAAATAATAGCACATATTTTCTTTTGAGCAACAAACGTATTTTAGCTATTCCTACCTATTTTTTTTCCAGCATTTCCTTGACTAGCTCTACTAGGGTTGTCCATTTCTGTACTATTTTCTACCGTTTTTTCGATTTTATAGCTAGCATCGATGTTTCCATTACCTTGATTTTTATTTATTAAATGAGTTTGCTTATCTTGCCCAGCGCAAGTCGTGCTTTCTAGTTGATTGACAGAGGAATCTTTTCTTTGTCCACTTACTAGCACAGCTTGCTGGGGCAACAATCTGCTACTGCCACTATCCTGATCTTGAATAAGATTTTGAAGTCGATCAACCTCATCCTTCAAGAGCTTTGAGTAATCAGAATCATCAAATTTCAGAACAATCCGATGATTAGAACAGATTTCAAAGTTATCCAAGCACAAAAAAGCGATAATAGCATCAGATTGTTCAAGATAGGTTACGCGCCTAATAGAAAAGTAGAAACACTAAGTATGTATAGCATAATATATCTTGCTTGAAATAATATATGTTTATTTCATCATAATTATAAACATGCCATTGCTCAAAAATGATATATTATGGTATATAGAAATTATCGTGAACTAGAGACTAAATGATTTATAAGCAATTCAATTAAAGATGCAAATCTAGAAATCAAATGATTAATAAGGTCAAAAAATTAAGACATCAAGGTTTCATCAGACTAACTA